CCCGGCCGTCCCCCGGCTCTTTGTATGCGCGGCATGAGGCGGTGTATGAGACAGAAGTGCTCGGCAAGCCTCTGGTGAAGCCCTCCTCTCGGCCAGCTCTTCTGTCAGCCCCCCTCCTAGCGCCCCCCAAAAAAGTGTTAGCCCCGGATAAATTCAGTTCAGGCTGGCCTGCTTCCAGGAGCTCAACAATGCCGGTTTTATCTGAATGTTTGCAATTGGTTTCACAGACTTAATCGCCCTTCTCTCCCTACAATATATATAAAAATGTTGTAACTTTTCCCTAACGAAGATGAGGAGCGGGGAACGTGAAATTAAAATGCCTGGGTCACCCGAGCACTGTCTTGTAATGTAACGTGAAAGGTAAGAAGAGTAATCCAAAATGGTTATACAGTTGTCTGGATGAAATTAAGAAGAAATGCAGGGTCTCACCAAAAATACAGTCCTGGGCTATTGCCAGGAGATGCCCAATGTGGATTTCAGTGTTCATGTTACCCAGCTGTGTTGTCTATATAATTGCTTTTAGATGTGAGAATTTGGTAGGTGCACAGAAGCTCTTTTGTGACACAAGTGTTAGAAGAATTATTTTTAAATTTACAAGTCTATTAAACCATATATTTTTCAGTGGTAAGGTCTTGTCTGGCATGACTAAGCTATCCAAACTGTAGTGTGTGCAGAATGCATTGTATTTGGATAGACTTAAGTGGAACCTAAAATGTTGGCTTTACCTATTTAGCTGTAAACTGCCATTTTAAAGAGTTTTATGACTGTTGCATCAAGAGTACACAAGAGCTGTCCCATTAGACAGGAGGCCAGGCTGCTCAGTGGAGAACTTCCAAATCCAAATGGTGCTTTGCTCTAGCTGGTTGTAACGGGGCGTTCTCCGACTGCGCAGTTACTGATTTGTTTGTAATTTGCTGGGTGTGGAGAGCTCACAAGAGCCAAAGCTTTTTGCTGGAATATTCCGTTTCTTTGTTCTTAAAATTCTGTTTTCTAGATCTTGGCTGTTAGCAGCCAAGTTCTTAAAATATGTACTATGATTCATATTTAAAGAAAATTTTCACTATTCTTTATGAACAATGAAATGTTCCATGTAAGTCTGTAGTTTTCAGCATTAGGTGTACATATAAGCAAAGTCTTGTTTCGTGAAAGTATTCTGGAGAGTGATCAACCATCTGATGTGCTTTGAACAGATTACAGTACCTCCATAGATTACTATTTTGACTGCATATATTATTTTTGAAAGCAGTTGCATAGCTTGGTTGATGCCATTATAACTACAAGTTATGATGGTATAGTCATTATTTAATCATCAGAATTAATTATTTATATTGTTCTTCACTGTTTCTTTTAAATGTTGGGGTTTTGAAATTCGGTAAATAAACACCATGTTGTCATCCACCCCTGAGTTTTAACAGAAGATTTCTACATTGTGGAATATATTCTGTAAGCCATTTTTGCTAGCAGAAAATGCTTGTGGTATTGAAAAAGTGTCACGTAATGTGCATTGCCTTGGAAGCTACAGCTCCTGATTTCTAATTTTAGCTTTGTCACTGTCTCTCTGGATTTTCTTAGGGAAGAATCATTGGGTTTAAGACATAGCTCCTTTTAAAAGTGCCTGATAAGTCCCTGATTTTGCATTGAAGTTACCAAAAGTGTCACCATGACTGGCAGTTTCCAGAAAACTAAGCCGTAGTTTCCATGTATTCAGATCCATTTACTTTATTTAAAATGGTGAGTACACAGCCCCTGGAAAAACCAAGGACATCCAGTAACTAGAATCTCAACACTAGTGGTAATTTTTAAAGAGTATAGGCTTTAGCCATACCGTTGGAGTGTTGCAAACAGACAATATAATCTGTGGACCTTAAACTGAACATATGCAATGTTAAATAATTAGGTATTGTTAAAAATAACAAACAGTTGACCTGAATATCCCCTTTCAGGACTTGCTGACTTCCTCATGAGGAGCGTAACTGACTCTTTGTGTCACAGAAGTTAAGGTCTAAAACGCTTAACGTTGAAAAACTATTAGTTCCATACATTGTAGCTAACAGAAATACTATATAACTCTATGTAGACAAGATACTGTACCTACTAGAGATGGATTCTAATCCTGGCTCTGCTGTTGACAAATTTGGGCTAATAGTTTCAGTTTTCTATGCCCGTTTCCCTTTTTGTCTGTCTGCAGAGCAGATCAGATTCATGGTATATTCTTACAGCATTTGGTATCAGCTTGGTAATCTCCAGTATTGTTGCCAGGACGTTTCAGTAACTTGCAGTGAGTGCCTCGTTATCAAGGGAAATGAATTTGCTGCAGTTCTAAAATTACTTTCTTTTGCCTGTACTCTGAATAAATGCCTCAGGTTTCCATCTCGTCTCTACCATACAAAAGCATTAATAATCCTGTTCCTTGTGTCACTTCTTAAATGTTTATATACTTAAAACAAGGGCATAATAGGTGATCAGACCAGTTTGTTTTATTCTAAAGATATTAATATATTATATAATATTGATAATTTTTCAGAGTAGACTATGGTTGTTGTAGGAACTTTGTTGGTTGGGAATTTTAGAACTAAACTAAATAAAGATCATGGAGAATAATCCATCAGCCAAGTGGTGAACTGAATGATCCCTAAAAGGTCTTTTTCATTTCTTCATCCTGTTGTTTGGTCCGAAGAAACACACATTCATTCAAAACCCATTGATCAGTCAAGCAGTTCAGGCAACACTCTACTCTCCAAAGAAAAAAGGTAACATTACAGCTGTTGGACTGATAGAATTAACACGATGTACATTCAGTTTCACAAATCCTCCTTACTGTGGTTTGGATCCTCAGCAATTCACAGTATTTCTAATGCTATTTCTTCCACTTTGCTTTTTGATTAGTCTTAATTTCCACTGCTGAGCAATGTTGCTAAACAAAAAGAGATAATAATCTATTATTTCCAGTGCCTGGAAATACCTGCAATGCAAAGTTTTATCATGAAAGAATAAAACCAGGTGAGCCAAATAAGAAATAATGGTATAGCCAAAGCAAAA